CCCAAAGTGAGGCGGGGGGGGGGGGACGACATGATTGCTCTCTTGAAGTCTTTGCAGGGCTGTCACTTAGAGGAGGGCGGGGAGGTGTTCCTGTTGGCAGCAGAGGTCAGGACCAATGTTCCCTCTAAGCTGTGGAGTCTTGTGAGCAAAAATTCTGCTTTGTGAGTTACTGGCATTAAAGTTGTGAGCAGGCAATTTGGCTACTGCATAAATTACTTTGCTCTGGAATCATCATTCCTGAGCTAAGACAAGAATGTGTCAGCCAGAGACTAAAAAACTGTGAGCTACTCACACTAACTCAGCTTAGAGGGAACAGTGGTCAGGACTCACGAGGAGGGGCTTAAATTAGGGCAGGAAGGTACCGGCTGGATATCAGGAACATATCTTTTTTACACTATGAGTAGTTCGTCAGTGGAATCTGCTGCCTCGGGAGGTGGTGAGCTCCCCCTCACTGGCAGTCTTTCGGCAGTGGCTGGACAAAAGCTTGTCAGGGATGCTCTAGGCTGATCCTGCATTGAGCGGGGGGGGGGGAGGAGTTGGACTCGATGACCTCTATGGCCCCTTCCTCTGCTCTGTGATTCTCTGATGGCCACAGGCACAGACAGCTTTAAAAGGGGATTAGACAGATTTCATGGAGGACAGGTCTATCCGTGGCAACTAGCCATGGGGAGTTTGGTGTAGTGTGTAGTGGTGTCGTGGTTAAGAGCAGCGGACTCTAATCTGGGAGAACCGGGTTTGGTTCCCCATTCCTGCAGCTGCTGGTGTAACCTTGGGTCAGTCATAAGTTCTCTCAGAGCTGTTCTCTCGAGGGCAGTTCTTGAGAGAGCTCTCTCTGAGCCCCACCTACCTCCCAGGGTGTCTGTTGTGGGGAGGGGAAGGGAAAGGAGATTGTAAGCTGCTCTTCCTTCGGGTAGTGAAGGGTGGGGTATAAATCCAATTTCCTCCTCCTCCTTCTTCTGAACCTCCATGATCAACAGCACTAATCCTCTGAACCCCAGAGCCAGGAGGCAGCATCAGGGGAAGGCCTCGGCCTCTGTGCCCTATTGTTGGCCCTCCAAAGGAACTGGCTGGCCACTGTGTAGGACGGGAGGCTGGACTAGATGGACCCTCCCTGGTCTGACCCAGCAGGGCTCTTCTGATGTTCTTCCCAGGGGGAAGGCCTCGGCCTCTCTGCCCTGTTGCTGGCCCTCCAGAGGAACTGGCTGTCCACTGTGTGAGACGGGAGGCTGGACTAGAGGGACCCTCCCTGGTCTGATCCAGCAGGGCTCTTCTGATGTTCTTCCCAGGGGAAGGTCTCAGCCTCTCTGCCCTGCTGTTTGCCCCCCAGAGGAATTGGTTGGCCACTGTGTAGGACGGGATGCTGGACTAGGTGGACCCTCCCTGGTCTGACCCAGCAGGGCTCTTCTGATGCTCTTCTCAGGGGAAGGCCTCAGCCTCTCTGCCCTGTTGTTGGCCCTCCAGAGGAACTGGCCAGCCCCTGTGTGAGACGGGAGGCTGAACTAGATGGACCCTCCCTGGTCTGACCCAGCAGGGCTCTTCTGATGCTCTTCCCAGGGGAAGGCCTCGGCCTCTCTGCCCTGTTGTTGGCCTTCCAGAGACACTGATTGGCCCCTGTGTGAGACGGGAGGCTGGACTAGAGGGACCCTCACGGGTCTGATCCAGCAGGACCCTTCTTACCCCAAATGTCCTTTGCTGTAGCTTATCTCAGTTAGTCCAAGTCCTCTCATTGACGATGACTGAAACCATGCCTGCCCCCCCCCCTCCGTGTGGCACCCCTTTCGGTATTGGATGGCGGCGGCCACATCACCACGTCTGCGTCTCTTCTCCCGTGTAGAGATTCCCGGCTCCTTCAGCCTCTCCTCATAGGCCATGGTCTCCAGGGCCCGCACCAGCCCTTTTGCCCTAGGCGTGGCTCTTTCCAACTTATTGATATCCTTCCTAAATTGTTGTGTCCCAAACCGAACACAGCACTCTGGGTGAGGTCTAGTCAAAGTAGTGTCCAGCAGCACCACATGATCTCGACAGGACCTTCTGCTAATGCAGCCGAAAACTGCATTCGCCTTTTTTGACTGCCGCATCGTGCTGGTGACCAACGCTCCCTCCAAGCTGTGGAGTCTTGTGAGCAAAAATTCTACTTTGTGAGCTACTGGTATTAAAGTTGTGAGCAAGCAGTTTGGCTACTGCATAAAATTAGTTTGCTCTGGAGCCCCATCCTTCCTGAGCGAAGGCAAAAATCTGTGAGCCGGAGGCTAAAAGACTGTGAGCTGGCTCACACGAACTCAGCTTAGAGGGAGCACTGCTGGTGACTCATATTAAGCTTACGGTCCTCTAGAGCCTTCAGATCCTTTTTGTAAGTGGTACTACCCAGCCAGGTTTCACCCATCTGATAGTTGTATACCTGGTTTCCACTACCCAAACTTTTACACTTCTCCCTATTAAATTTCGCTTTATTTGCCTGGGCCCAACCCTCCATCCTGTCCAAGTCCAGCTGCGTCCCATTTCTGTCCTCCAAGGTCTGAGCCGCCCCCACCCAGTTTAGTACCTTGGTGGGCGTATGTTCTGAATGCCTCCCCCTCCAGGTTGATGGGGGACGAACGGTCACCCTTTGGGGTACGGTCTACGATCTGAAGAAGCCCCGTCTCTGGTGCCTCTGGAGGGGGGGGGGCGCACACAGGCCTTGAGGAAGGTTTGCCGGGTTGACTGAAATGGAATAAAAGTCAAGTGCAGCAGCCTGGATCTTTGTAGCCAAAATAAGATGCAGAATCAGCCCACGTGAGCCAACTTCTTTGACTGACGCAGCTGATGGAAGCCGTAGCTTTGCCTCGTGCACTAAAAGGGAGCGTGTGCTTGGCTCCTGGGACCCACCCGGGTAAAGGGGAGACCCTGGCTTAGGGGGTCTTCAAGCATCCTCTCTCATTTCAAGGAAATGGCGGGGGAGGGGGGTGTTGTCTGCTCGTACTCTTGGGACTTATTGTTTTGTGGCTCTTCTTTGAAGGAGACATTGTGGAGGTTCTCTTGTTCCTGACGGGCCAGGCCCCACTGCAGCCAGCAGAGCAGGGCCGGCTCACCCACTAGGCAAACTAGGCATTCGCCTAGAGCACCGGGCCCTGGATGAGGCACCAAGCTGTGCCTCCCCCCTCCTCCCCCCCTTTGGTAGTGGCGGCAGCAGTGGGGGGGAGGTGGTGGTGGCAGCAGCAAAAGGGCTCCAGGTCTCCAGGCCCCACCGGGAGGTTGGCATCTGCGCCATAAGGCAGTCTCGCCTAAGGCGCAGAAACACCTGAAGCCGGCCCTGCAGCACAGTGCGGTTTGGCCATCTTTATATTTATCTAGAAACTGTGGGTGGCGCCTCTCCAGGTATCTGCTTTCAGGCAGCTTACAGCGAAGCCCTTAAAACAAGCTGGCACCATCAAAGCGTTCCAGGCATAACTGAGTAAAGCGCACTTCGAGCGGCCTCAGATGTAGATGTCGATAAACCAATCCTGAGGGCAGAAGCAGGCCATAAAACCCTCCAAGTGAAGGGCGGGGTATAAAACCAACTCCTCCTTGTCAGAACCCACAGCTTACAACAAAGTACACGCAACGTTTATTGCAAAGCTATAGATGCAGTAACACAGGCACTGTTAAGAATGGCGGCAACCCATAGAGCCTAATAGGATATAGGGCATTTGTATGCACACACCTCCCCATGGCATGGGCCAATTAGGTACCCTCCCGCATACGGGACAAGTTAGGAAACTGTTAGCTGGCTAAAGCTGGGAACCAGGAGTCTCTCACAGTACATAGGAGACTTCCAGACAACACAACCTCCTCCTGCACATCTGTAGAGATAAGCGTTTCGGCATAGGCAGAACAGCAGAGATAGGAATGCAATAGCAATTACCAAGACACAGAATGAACCCCCCAACCCCCATGGCAGCATAGCTGACATACTGCCCTCTCAAAAATCAGCTTCTCCCGCCCATTCCGGGAAGCATAATAGGATATAGGGCATTCATATGCACACACCCCCATGGCATGGGCCAATTAGCTACCCTCCTCTTCTTCTTCCCTGGCCCCCAAGCCATTGAGGGCCTTGAGCATTGGAACAGCATGAGAGGCTTGTCTTCAGAAACCAGTCGGCAGCCAGTGCAGATCTTTCCGCACCAGACTGATGCGGCCCCTCTGCATCCTGCCCCTGACATCCGCCTGTCTGCGGCCTTTGGGAATGTTTCCAAAGGCAGCCCCGCACAGAGCGCATTACAGTCATTTCAGCTGGATGAAACCAGGACACGGATCGCTGTGCCTGGCCTGGATCGCACATTTTGAGGAAGGGCTGTACCAAGCCTGCCAGCTAGAGCTAGTAAAAGATGCCACACAGGGAATCTCAGCTTCCTGCAGAATCCAGCTGTGTCCCCAGGGTGGAGCTGCTGAGGCCGGTTCTTACTCCCTGATGCTTGCAGAAGAGAGCGCAGTCGTGACCCGGCAAAGGCTTGGCCTGGCACCCAAAAGAGAGCCACGTGTAGGTAGGTGCCGGGAGAGCCTCAAGCGGAAGGGCATTCCATATTGCGAGGTTGCCTTCCCTGCACACCCTCTGCCTGCTGCCCTGGCAGTATTTCACTCATAAGTTCAATGAATGTGTCCAGCTGTAATTCCTCAGACCCGAGCTCTGCTAACAGCACCATCCCTATTGATGGCCGCTGAACTCTGGCGTCTGAGTCACTGTGGAGGGAACTCACTCTGCCCTGGCCGAAAGAAAGGAGCACCCCTTGGCAGGCTGGTGGAGAATGAAGGCGCCCCCTCCCCCGCTGCTGTGGGGAGAGCTCTGGTCAGCAGTGCCGAGCTCAGCTGCGTGCGTGGAGCCTCCCTCCAACCCTGAGCAGCCAAAGAGCCACTTTCCGGGGCAGGAAGGAGTCAGGTTCTTTGCAGAGCAGGGTGAAGGCCCTTGTTTTTTCCTGTGGCACGGCGGCTCTTCCATCAGTGGGCGTGGAAGTGCCTTCATCAGATACCCGTCCAGAGCTGAATTCTAAAATAGGTACCCGCTGCCATCGTCTGTCACCTGGTGATGATGGTTGTGGAGGAAAGCACAGGCTGGCATGAACCACTGAGGAAGGGAGCCAGAAAGGGAGCTGGGCCAAAGGCCGGCTAAAATTGTATTGGCTCTTTCCCCAAATACCGAAACGCTTTTCCCCCAGGGATGAGGAGTATCTGGGGGGGCTGTTGAGCAGCTCAGCAGCCCCACCAGGTGGCAGGCGACCCCTGTGGAGAAGGACCCTGGCCTGGATGGCCCCGACAAGTCCCCCCCCTCGCCTGATCTCGGAAGCTTAGCAGGGCCGACCCTGGCCAAGTACCTGGGAGGGAGACCTCCAAGGAATACCAGATCTTGGGACGCAGAGGCAGACAATAATCTGGGCATTCTCCGTGCTCCAGTAGGAGTCGCCAGGGGTCACCGTGACTTCCAGGCGTGGGCCCGCAAACACACACATGCAAAAAAAAAAAAAATCCCGAAAAGGAAAAGGAAAAAGAAGTGGCCGGGGGTGAGGATTTAGGAGCAAGACGTCAGGCAGATGGCGGGAGGCTCTTTTCTCCTGGGTGGCGGCAGGGTGAGGCCAGAGCCTTGCGTAATGAATAGCTCCCAAATCTTCTTGCTTTGCTAGGAACCATGCCAAGAAAACTCGGGGGGGGGGGGACGACTTTTGATAGAACAGTCTCTTGTAGGCCAGCGTGGAAGTGGTGTTGTGCCTCCCCGTGCGTTAGGGGGGGGCTGCAGCTCAGTGGAAGGGCCTCTGCTTGGCATGCCGAAGGTCCCCGGCCCAGTCCCAGGGGGCCACCTCTAGGGGAAAGGTCCAGGCGGGAGAGGGCGTGAAAGACCCTGCCCAGGCGCAGCCGGTCAGAGGAGACCTGGGTGGGCCAAGGGCCGCCGGATTAGGCCGAAGGCAGCCTCAGGCGGGGGGGCAAAGCCGCCCTCGCTCCTTTTACTCTTCTCCTCTCCCCTCCTTTCGTTTTTTTGTCTTTCGGTTTGCCTTTTCTTTTCCTTTCTGCGTTCTGTGACCCCCAACTCAAACGAGGGTTAATCCAAACCAGGTTTCCATGGAACCGTGTTTCCCATGTCAACGTCAAACCAGGGTCTGAACTGCTATTTACAAAGATCCACTGTCTGCATTAACACGGGGTTGGATCCTACACATGGGGAGATGTCCTGCCTTTTCGTTCTCCCACATACCTCTTTTTTTTGGGGGGGGCCCTTTGGAAACCTGGGACAGCCCGCCCAGAGAAGCGGCCGGGGGAGGGGGGAATCAGGCAGGTTTGTTCTCACCCCCACCACTGCCCAGCACGGAGAACCTGAGCCGTGTGTCCTCACAGTTCACGGGATGCAATCCAGTGATTTGCGGATAAGTAATTGAAAGCCTGTGTTAGCGGGAGGGGAGAGATGGGCCGGAGGGGAATGAAGGGAATCAGTCTTGCTCTTGCTGCATCTGTCTAAGACCAGGAGTCTTTTACCTGCACGGAGCCCCTCCTCTTCTCTCCTGCATCCCATACACCTTTGAATTGTCCACTGGATCTTTCCTATCTTGGCAGCTGTGTGATGCGTGAAGTTTGTGCTGATGGCTAGAGTTGACCTGGGAGATGGGCTTTCCTTGGCACCGCGAAACTGCCATTCGAACTGTTACTCCTTTTCCCTTCCCTCTAGA